GGGTAGTAAATGGATAATTAATGGATGATAGATTGGTAATAGCTAAATCCAATGCATGATTAATGCCAAATACATGAATAAACAATTGACAACAAATGGATAAACAATGATTAAACGGATAATAAATGGACAATGAATGGATACTATACATGGATAAAACATGGATAACTTATGGATAACACGTTGATCGCAAATCGATATTGAATGTGTTATATGGACGCTAAATTAAGAATAATAGATGGATAAAATATGGATGGTATGTGGGTAGAATTGCTCAAAATCTTTTCAATTGCTCGAAAATGGCTTGCTATAGACCAAAACAAGTATTCAAACGCAATGGGCCTGGCCAGAAAAGTTTGCTCAAAATTGGCCTAAGGATTGCGTCTAGACTAAAACAAATATTAAAATAAAATTGGCAAAAACGTTACGACCTAGCTTCAATCTCCATAATTTGTGAATTCCAATTGTGCAGGAATGACATGTAGATTGAAAGGACTATTCAAATATACAAATTGCTGGCCGAACAAATTCCGCTCAAAATCGCTCAAAATCGCTCAAAATTGCTCAAAATTGCTCAAAATTGCTCAAAATTGCTCAAAATTGCTCAAAATTGCTCAAAATTGCTCAAAATCAACTCAAAATGTCTCAAAATGTCTCATACCTGCCCCAAAAATCCGCTCAAAATTGCTCAAAATTGCTCAAAATCGATTCAAAATGTCTCAAAATGTCTCATACCTGCCCCAAAAATCCGCTCAAAATTGCTCAAAATTGCTCAAAATTGCTCAAAATTGCTCAAAATTGCTCAAAATGTCTCAAAATGTCTCAAAATGTCTCAAAATGAGTTTTGAGAAAAATTGAGTTGATTTTGAGACATTTTGAGACATTTTGAGACATATTGGGACAGATTGAGACATTTTGAAGCAAACTGGTAGTTGCTGACAGTGCCAAAGGCATGAAAAAATGTAACGCTGTTGCAAACTTTTTGAAACCGAAAGCAAACAGATGTGAATATTTACAAAAAAAATTGATGAAATGGTGCTTTTGCTTATAGTACCGCAGCATGAATACTTACAGAAAAGTTTGATGAAACACTGTTTCTGCTTATAGTACCGCAGCATGAATGCTTACAGAAAAGTTTCATGAAACACTGTTTTTGCTTATAGTACCGTAGCGTGAATACTTACAGAAAATTTTTCCGCGCTGAACCTTAAGCTTGAAGGTTGCAACATGGAAAACATTTGGAAAAGAGTTTATACAAGAGTGCCGTGGCAAGAGTGCCGTGGCAAGAGTGCCTGCCTGCATGTCAGGTATGCTCAATTTAGGGCTCATCTCCAGTAGTAGCGTCTTGTAAGAGTGTCCCAAAACTGTGTCATAGCATCATAGCAGAAGTGTTGCTATTTAATGGACATAATCTGCCCTAAATTTATGGACACAACCTGCCACTAATTTATGCACATAACCTGCCACGAATATGGACATTACCTGCCAGTAATTTACCGACGTAGCCTGCCAATTTATGAACATAACCTGCAACCAATCTATGGGCATCACGCCGAACCCGGGTGGATCTGTCAAGCGGGGCAGCCGTGTCTTGCAAGAGTGTCCACAAGAGTGTCGTGGCAAGAGTTTCTTGCTGTCCCGCAAGAGTGTCCCATAGCCTGCCACTAATTCATGGACATAACCTACCACTATTCTATGGAAATTACCTGCCAATAGTTTATGGACGCGACCTGCCATTAATTTATGGACATAACCGGCCAAGAATTTATGGACGTAACCTGCCACTAATTTATGGGCATAACCTACCACTAATTTGTGGCCTTAACGCCGACCATGGATGTATCAGTCAACTGGAGCAGCAGTGTCTCGCGAGAGTGTCCACAAGAGTATCGTGGCAAGAGTGCCTGCCTAAAAGTGAGGTATGCTAAATTTAGTGTGCCTAAATGGAATTAATGGAGTTTAGGTATGCATGTTTAGGCTTGCCTAGAAGTGAGGTATGCTAAATTTGGTGTCCCTAAGTGCCATTTATAGAGTTTAGGGATGAAAAAATGGCGTCGCCTAAGATTTGCCACTCTTTGCACTCCAAGTGCTGTTCCTTCCACTGTCGCCGTCGTCGCTTGAGCCATAAAACGAAAACAGTTTTTTCAACCTTTTCGTAAAGGATGTTTCTAGGGTGTGAGGGTCTGCTTTGGTAATTTTCCCGTTGGTTTGGTACTGCTTTGGGGATTAAAAAGGGGCGACTTTTTAGCCCCAAAAAGGGGCTCCAAAAATAGGTCAAAAAGTCGCCCCCCAAAGTCCCAAACCAAACGGAAAATGACTAGTCTGCTTATTGGTTCTTTCGCTCCCCTCATCATCCTAGCTCCCCCTGCTGTCGCTACACGCATTACAGTGGCAACGGCCAGATGAAGTGAGGATGCAGACAACCGTATTAGCTAACCAAGTGAAGCCACGAACCTGGATGCCAAGAACAAAAATCCTACCCTGCAGAAAAAGGATCCTAAATAAAATATATATAAAAACAAATCTTGTAACCCTCCTAAAGGCTCCCGGCGGAGTGGATGAAGACGTCCCTTCTGACAGACAAGGGGGTGACACAATGGGGTAAGGGAAGCTATTAATAAATTAGTGGCAAGTTATGCCCATAAATTAGTGGCAGGTTATGCCCACAAATTAGTGGCAAGTTACGTCCATAAATTAATGGCAGGTTATGTCCGTACAATTAGTGGCAGGGTATGTCCAGAAACTAGTGGCAGCCTGTGGGACAACCTTGTGGTGTGGACACTCTCGCAAGACACTGCTGCCCGAGTTGACTGATCCATCCGGGGTCGGCGTTATGTCTGTAGATTAGTGGTAGGTTATGCCCATAGATTAGTTGCTATGCCAATCAATTAGTGGCAGGTTATGTCGATAAAATCTTGGCAGGTTGTGTCCATAAAGTAGTGGCTGGTTATGTCCAAAAATTACTGGAAGGTAATGTCCATAGATTAGTGGCAGGCTATGTCCGTAAATTAGTGGCAGGCTGTGTCCATAAATGAGCGGCGCTCCCGCTATGATTTTGTGACACTCTTCTGGGACACTTTTACACGACACTCGTACTGGAAATAACCGCTACATTTTGCATACCTGACTTTTAGGCAAGCTTGAAAATGCAAACCTAATAAGTAATATTATATTAAATTTAACAAGATCTATGTGTTTTGACAAGGAACATTTATGTTCTGGGAGCAACATCGATACTCATTGTTTTAAGACAACAAAAGATCACAAAAATGACAACAATGACAGCACATGACAAACAAATAACAAACAAGGACAAAATTGACAACCCTGAGGCTCGAAGTTAAGGCCTCGAAGTTAAGGTGTTATTCCATTTTGGTGATAAAAATGGAAAATGGATGGACCATACGTGGTTCATGCAATCATAATTTCCATGCTAAACAGGTCAAATCCATGCCCAGTTTCTCTCATCAGTTCATACAATTGACACAAATGACTCAGCTGCACACTGAGCTGGCCAACGTAATCACAACGTGTTAGCATCGTGAGCAGGTAAACGTTCAATCAACGTTTTACCATATTTTAGATTTTATCTTTTTGAACATATTTTGTCTTTTTTTTACATATTTTGTTAAAAAATATGAAACCACATTTGTTTGCACAACGTTCTGGACAACAAATTAGTCTACCAAATTTCAGATTAGCCTACCTAAATTTCAGAAATGCCTATGTCATTTTCAAATCACCTAGGCATTTCTGAGATCAGGTAGGCATTTCTGAAAGTCATGAAGGGCAAACCCCTACAAACTAATACCTTACGATCTGGGATGCATTCTTAAGTTTGTGAATTATAATATTTCACTCACCTGAATAGTTCGGCCATAACAGGGGATGATTTCCCGAATCCTAACCATGATTCCAGGCTTCGGGAGACCAGGGTTCGGTCGTGATGAAATTTACCCAGATATATCATATATCACATCATATCATACCATATCATATTATATAATATCATTTACCCAGATTTTCCCATGGTTTACACAGAAAAATCGCACCAAACACCGGGCCACGGCGATCAAATCGCCCTACGTGGGGCCCCGCGTCCTGCGGCGACATGGGCCCCGTGGCACTGCAGCTGGCGCCATCGGTGCCGTTCTTCACGGGGTACCTCGATGGATTGGACAGGACGGGTCGATCATGGCTATGGATAGTTAGGGCTATTAATATCTGGTTAATATGGTTATTATTAACATAATTAATCATAGGGTATGTTAATCATAATTAATCATAATTAATCATAATTAGGGTTATTATATGGTTATATAATCTATTATAAATTGGTTTATAAACCCCATCAACTATAGTTATAAGTACCATAAACCATAGTGAAATTGGAATTATAAACCAACTTAGCTATCTGGTTAATATATGGTTAATATCTGGTTAATAAATGGTTAATATATGGTTAATATATGGTTAATATCTGGTTAATATATGGTTAATAATGGTTAATATATGGTTAATATATGGTTAATATCTGGTTAATATATGGTTAATATCTGGTTAATATATGGTTAATATATGGTTAATATATGGTTAATATCTGGTTAATATCTGGTTAATATCTGGTTCATATCTGGTTAATATCTGGTTAATAAATGGTTAATATATGGTTAATATATGGTTAATATCTGGTTAATATCTGGTTAATATCTGGTTAATATCTGGTTAATATATGGTTAATATCTGGTTAATATATGGTTAATATCTGGTTAATATCTGGTTAATATCTGGTTAATATCTGGTTAATATCTGGTTAATATCTGGTTAATATATGGTTAATATCTGGTTAATATCTGGTTAATATATGGTTAATATATGGTTAATATATGGTTAATATCTGGTTAATATATGGTTAATATATGGTTAATATCTGGTTAATATCTGGACAATTTGACCGACCTCTCCCCAAACAACGACGCCGAATCTTCATTGCCGACAAAATGAAGGTGCTTTCCTTTTACAAGAAACTCCTGACAGACGAAAAGGAAGCGAAAGACGTCGTAGCTGCCCCAAAGAGAAAGTTGGCTAGCGCACAGGAAAGGAAGGATCTCAAACAGGCCAAAAAGATTGCCAAAGAAAAACTGAGACGCAACAAGCAATTTCTCTGCCAGAAAGCCTTCCCAGAAATAGTAGGCAAGTCCTATGTCTGGAAATGGTGGAAAACTGCCAAGAGAGAGGCTTGGGATCAACTTCCAGAGCAGGTGCAGTGGCGGCTTGTTGCCACGCCCAACACATGGCGTGCCAAATTGGGCTTGCCAAGAAAAGGGCGTGAGGAATTTCGTCGATCAAAAATTCCTGAGCCAATCCAGATCGAGTTGGATTTCCTAGTGCTCGAGCATGCTCGCGGCAGATCGGATGTTTCCGAGCGCCGCGAGGTGGTCACTACAGATCACGTCGCTGCTTGGCTGAACCATGCTGAACCACTAACATGGACATGCCAATGTCTCATGTTGGGAAAGAACAGCTGACATGGATTCTCTTTTTGGTTGTTGACAAGATGGGATTATACATAGATGAAGCCAACAGCACTCGGTTTGGTTAAGTACTTGTTTATCTTTTACACCCCGAATCAACCATGTCAACATCTGATGACTCCAAAAATGATATGACATGTGATGAGCAGCTAACCTAGACATGGAAGCTGCATGTCACAAACTGCCGACTTGATTGTCAGGCAGCCACCCTCAAGGGCCTCATCAATGATTGGAACTCCTCCTATGACGAGTCGAAACAGATTGTGGAAGCACACAACAAGGAGATCTTGGCAAAAATCGACGCTGGAACTTTGACAGCAGAGGCTGCCATCAGAGCTTTGACACCATTGCCAAAACAAGTTGAAATGCCAACCAAATCTTGGTGCCGGCATTTCCTGCGAAACTTTGGGTACAGCCTCCTATCAAATGGATGTGATACGCAAGCTTGGCTTCCATATTCCCACCCGGATATGGAAACATCCCGTGCCCACATGCGTGATCTTCTTCAATCAAAATGTCACCCTGCTTTGGTCCTGAACTACGACCAGATGTGGCGTACAGCCTTCTCTTTTGGGGGAAAGCTACTCTGGAAAGATCGACAGGACGCGGGCAGGAGATGTTTGAAGCGGAAGGTGGGCCCAAAAACTGACAAGAAGCAGCACCACATCAAAGGCAGCCGCCGGAGCATCACAGTATCTCGGATGTCCATGTTAAGGGACCACGGATTTTCTTCCAAAATGATGAGCAAATATGAGCAAATTATAGTCTACATAAATGCTTTAGCAGCGACTAGAAGACAGACAACTTCCCTGTTTCTGCACAAAGTCCATTTTGCGGATGTCCCTGTTAGTGGGCCAATTCCTTTTTCACAAAGCAGCCTGGGATTTTTTTTGCTACATCACCCGGAAAAAACACCTTCCAATGGGCAGATTAACGCGGACAACCCCCGAGGCCCTCACGTCGTCTTGGAGCGACGGCAGTCGCGGCCCTATCGCTTTTTGCATTCCCGAGCAGGCAATGCCAATTGCAGACATCAAGCGCTTCAATGAGTCCCATGTTGGAGAATCGATGATCATATCTTCCCAGACATCTTCTCACTTTATGAATGCCGACACGATGCTTCAGGTCCTTGAGCAGCTGGTGAGTCCGGCACTACAGAAGCAAAGAGCTCGGCATCATTGCTTTACTTTATTCTGCTTCTTTTCTTTGCACTTCTTCAACCACATCAAGAATTTACTATTGTATCTTTTTGGATGGCACCGTCGCAAATTCTACTGCAGAAGAGGGCTCACCACTTTAAATCTTTTGGATTGTAGTTGAACAGTCCTGCACAATATCAAAAGAATGAGTTGCAATGTTCATGTTAGTGGTTGTCTGGGTTCATCAGCTATACAATGGATAGCCAACTAATTAATCCAAAAAACCCAGTACCAAAAATATTTGTGGCGATTAAAGACAATAATTCTGTATCCATGCCCTTTAGCCAGGACAAATAGATCGCCATCATTTTTCTGAAAAAAAGGAAGGTGAAGGGACACACGCCCACTACACCAGACTAACATGGATTCCATTGGCTGCTTTGTCAAATCTCAGGTATGGTTTGACTGTCACCGACGAGAACGCACAGGGGGCGCTACTGGCTGATGCCTAGACCGGCAGTTTCAGTCAATCGAACGGAGAGCATCAGAGGAGGCTCATTTAAGAACATTAGGAGCGGCTCAGGTTTTTGGAAAGATACAGGGGGGACCACTAGCATAGACATGGAGCTCCTTTCATTGGCAATTTGATTACACTATGTCCAAAGTCATGGTGTATGCTGATGTATACGGGCTCTTCAATGATTCAAATGCAGCTTGTTTTGCAGGTCCATGTGGTATTCCCTTCATCGGATGCTTCCTCCTCGAAAGCAACCCGGTGGATGGTCAAGCCACGGCCAGCCAGTTGATCAACTTCATTCAGTATATCGTGCTCGTATTCGAGAGTTGGATTTGGGGTCGGCTGGAATGTCGGCTGATCTGAGGACAAGAACTCCGTTTGAGAAGCTGGACATTCGTGCGAATGGCCAGGTGAAACGCGAAGTGGCAAATTGGCTGAGTGTGGCCGAGATGTCATACAAGGCTTGGACCTCACTCGAGCGCAAGGTGTTCCAGTCCGCGTGGATCGTGTGCGGCTATGTAGATTCGCTGGTCGGAACTGAGCACATGGAGCTACCTAGCATGAATGAGGCCCAAGAGCTCTTCAATGACCTTTTCAAAGACTATGGTGTAGCCAGCACTCCTCAGCGCTGCACCTCCTTCGAGTGGCAGATTCAAGTCTCTCATCCTTTATTCCCAAAGATTGGGGTAGGGCACCTTTTTTTTGTTTCACTATATATGTTTGTCACGTCTATGTTAGCACTGGCCCTGCTATGGGTTGGTTCTCGGTCCTGGTGCCTTGGATTGGTTTTCTTGGCCCCGGCCCTTGGCCTTGGGGCCATGGCGCGGAGGTGCCCTGGATTAGTTTTCTTGGCACTCGGCTTGGGGCATTGTTTGTTGGTTTCTATTCCCTAGAAGTCTTGTGTGCACCTAACATGGACATGGAGGTAGGCCATTGATGTCCCCTAACTGCCAAAACCAGAGCAATATATCCTAACCATGAAGCCGAATGCCATGTCCAAAAGGGTGATCAATAATTTTTGTACATATACAGTAGCAATAAAATCACTTCATTTTTGAGTGAATTTCTCAGCCTCTGAACGTGGCCAACCTAACCTGGACATGCAGCCACCAAACCCACGGACATGCAATTCCATGCCCAGGTCAATGACGAGTGGCAATCACTTCCGTATGAGATTGCCAGTTCCTATGTCCGCACCTTGATGGTCCACTGTCACGAGTTATTTGAAGCAAAAAAGAAAGCAGAGGCACTACTTGGGGAAGATCCAGAAGAGAAGAAAAAGAAAACAAGGGATGCAAAAGAGCTTCATGAATCCCTGAAAAAATCGCAAAGATGGATCGTTTTCAACCCAAAAACGGGGCAGCTGGCTACGCAGCACTGGCTGCAGAAGCACATCAAAGCCGACGCTGCGGGCAAACCAGTGGTGAAGAATTCCAAATCGAGAGTCAAGCCATGGGTCATGGTTTTCCACTTTGAGTCCCAGGATGGCGAAACAGTGCTGTCTTTGCAGAGAGACCCGGACAAACCCCAACAGAAAATTCGTTGTGTTGACATTCGAAACGGTCAATCCCATGCTGCTCTTTCTTTCTTCATGCAGGGTTACCAGCATTTTCTGGATGAAGAAGACGAGCAGGATGATGGGGAGGAATCGGAGGATACGATGGTTGGCGAAGATGAAGGACTAGAAGGTCTGCCATGTCCACGTTAACGGGGTGCAGGATGTAAGGCCCCACATTCATCTTTTTCCCTGAATACCAAGTACCACCTTGGAAACAACTTTAGAATTCAATTTAATATTAGGATATGTATTTATGTATTGGGACTGTTCGAATTGGGGGCCTGGTGGTACTTCATATTGAGGGGATGGGATTGTTTCGCCATCATCACATGATGTCAGAAGACTATTTTTGTATGTCCATGTTAGTGGCCTCCATTCCGGCTTGGGTGAATATGAATATTGACACTTCCCACGTATGATTGATGAACATGAAGGCGCTAAAAGGTCTGCCATGTCCACGTTAACGGGGTGCAGGATGTAAGGCCCCACATTCATCTTTTTCCCTGAATACCAAGTACCACCTTGGAAACAACTTTAGAATTCAATTTAATATTAGGATATGTATTTATGTATTGGGACTGTTCGAATTGGGGGCCTGGTGGTACTTCATATTGAGGGGATGGGATTGTTTCGCCATCATCACATGATGTCAGAAGACTATTTTTGTATGTCCATGTTAGTGGCCTCCATTCCGGCTTGGGTGAATATGAATATTGACACTTCCCACGTATGATTGATGAACATGAAGGCGCTAAAAGGTCTGCCATGTCCACGTTAACGGGGTGCAGGATGTAAGGCCCCACATTCATCTTTTTCCCTGAATACCAAGTACCACCTTGGAAACAACTTTAGAATTCAATTTAATATTAGGATATGTATTTATGTATTGGGACTGTTCGAATTGGGGGCCTGGTGGTACTTCTTATTGGTGAAGATGAACACAGTGCGGTTTGCCCGTCCACGTTAGTAGGTGTCCCACATGTACATCATCCCCAACGTAGATCCTTTCCTCCTACAATCAACTTTCACCTTAGTATATGGATATGTATTTGCCCATATATGTATATATATATATATATATTATTTTTGCAACAATATTGAAATATGTCAAGTTAGCGGGATGAGATGCTTGGGTTTACATCACACCGTTGCCAACAAAAGGGTTTAGGTTCTCATGTCCATGTTAGCCAAATCAACATAGCTTACTTCGGGCTGGTGGGATGATCTCCATGTTGCATCAGCAACTGCAGGTCTTGACAGATCCGGCGTGATGAAAAAATTGAGGGGCTGCGACCCGGCGCCTGAAAAAGAGGCGGGGGCTCACAAGCACCAGCACCTCTTCAAGTCGCTGAAGGGTATGGTCGCAGATGATGATTCCGAAGAAAAGACAGAACCAGTCAAATGGTGGTGAAATTGAGTGACAAAACCACTCAATTCAAACCGCCTCCCTCATTCTTCCTTCGGGAGTGCTACAAGTTGCTGAATGAACAGAACCTAGTGACTTTGCCTCCCCTGGAGGGAGTTGGTCTCTGGTGCCACACCAGCACGAGTCAGTGGCATGCCCATCATGGTGGCCGAAACTTCGCACCAAGTTGGGGGAATTCACGTTCTGAAACTATGGCTATCCTTCTGGCCATTCAAAAAGCATGGATTTGGTACAAAGCAGAAAATCCTGAAGACAAGGTCGCTGACAAACAGCTGGCCGCAATCCGACAAAAGATTCAGGACACACCATTCTGAGTACTCCAGGGGCCACGTCCATGTTAGCTCACTAAATTGTGCACCAATCCAAGGAGTTCATGGGCATGTCCATGTTAGCCAGGCATTTAAAACTTCGCCTTCAGCACGCACGTTTTCTGATTTGTTGTTCAAGTGGCTCTTAGATGTCCATGTTGATGGTTGGACAACTGGTATGAAACTGGTGTGGACTGAACCGTACAGTATATAGATCAAAGACCCGCCACTGGGGAAGTGGCTGCGACAAAAAAAAGCAGCTGTGGGCCGAGGGGATCCAGGGTTCACTTCTCAATGTTTTGTTAACATAGACGTTTTTAGGTTTGGGTGTACAGCCGTGGCGTCATTCCCAGGGAACCTACCAAAATATGAAACTTTGCAGCGTCCATGTTAGTGAACACTGTTTAGCTAAATGTTGGGAGGACCACGTCCTTGTTAGCTAAAGTTTGATGGTTTTTACAAAATGCACCACGTCCTTGTTAGCGACATTTTGGGCGTACCACGTCCTTGTTAGTGAGAATTCACTGGTTTTGACCAGATACACGTCCATGTTAGTTCTACGTTTTTTGGCCTCCACGTCCACGTGCGTGAAGGGGAGGGTATATAAATATAATTATATGTATATATTACATTAATTATATCTATGTTTTACTATTTATATATATATATTATATTTATATATATTATATATATAATATGTATGGTGGTGGTGTTGACCTTACCTACTGGGGGTTTCCCTGCTGGCCCAGGAAAGGATTTCCAGTCACTGTGTCCGGGAAGGCCTTCGACACTGGGCTGGTCATGCTCTGGCTTGGCGACGACATGATTTCATCACAGGACCGGCTGCGTATTGAAGTATCGATCTCTGAATTCTCAACCCAAAGAAATGCCTATTAGGGATTGACTATGGTACTATTCACCTGGACCCTCATAATTTGTGGACGTTTGGCCTTTTGAACGTTTGGAACGGCTCCCAAGAAAACTGAACACTCCCCAGCAAACGGTAGCTGTTTTGGACCAGGGCTGCAAACTGTAGGTGGACCCCGGGAATGATCTCTTCCAAATGTGTCACTACATGGTGAAATGCGCCAACAAGTTCTTTCGAACCTTGATCCATGAAGGCGTTTTGATGCAGGGCGATGTTTGCACCACTGCCAGGGTGGCCGGAGCAGAAATGAATGCCATTTTGTAGCAGTTGTTTCTTTGTTTGGACCTTCAAAAGTATTCCATATGATTATAATGCAAAACCACGGGATACCCAGTGAATATCCAAAATATGTCCCCATGCTTGGCTCCCAAATGGGATAGAGTTGTTGGATATGTATCTTTTCGTCGCCGCCGCCAATCCCTTTGTAAAACTTCAGGTAGCTTATGCGTCCCTTGCTTCAGCAACTTTTGCTGCTGGTATGAAGCTCTATAAGTACCGTCCCAAATTCCACCTGGGCACGCATCTGCCATTGGGCATCACATCCCCAGAGGCCATTAATCCCAATTGATTCTTGGCTCTTGGTTTAGACCACCTCAATCCCTGCAATGATTTGGTGAAGCTATGGGTGAAGTTGGGGTAGCAATGTGCCCTAAACCATTTCCAGTTGGATTGGAGCCTGTGTTTCCTAGGCTATGCTACATGGGCCGATGAAGATTTCATTGGGAAGGTTTCACGGACCGCACGGTCTACGCATCCTTTGACGCAAACCCTGAGGACATTGGAGAAGTGCCTGGGGCAATATGCCCAGCAATATGCCCTACTCAACTTCTAGGAAGTTTCATGGCCACCTGCAGCTATGATTGACATGAAAGGAAAAAATGTGCTTGCTTGGAACATTCGCTCAAGTGAGCGTTCAGATTTGTTTGGGAGTGTTCAGTTTTGCCTGGAACCGTTCCAAACGTTCCAAACGTTCAATTGGCCAAACGTACACTTATTATGGTACTTTTGAGGGTCCAGGTGAGGTAAAATTGCGATTTTGAGGTGTCACTGGCAACCCTTACACGCGAAATGGAGGTTCGACGTCAAAAACTGAGGTAAAATTGCGATTTTACTTGGCCCATCGCAACCCTTTCGCACGAAATGGACGTTGAACGTCAAAAACTGAAGTAAAATTGCGATTTCACGGGTCCGGTCTCTGTGTGTGAAAGTGTTTGTGTGTAAAAGCTTCTGTGTGTAAAAGGGTCTGTGTGTAAAAGGGTCTGTGTGTAAAAGTGTCTGTGTGTGAAAGCGTCTGTGTGTAAAGGAGTCTGTGTGTAAAAGCGTCTGTGTGTAAAGGAGTCTGTGTGTAAAAGCCCCTGTGTGTAAAAGCGTCTGTGTGTAAAGGAGTCTGTGTGTAAAAGCCTCTGTGTGTAAAAGCTTCTGTGTGTAAAAGCTTCTGTGTGTAAAAGTGTCTGTGTGTAAAAGGGTTTGTGTGTAAAATGGTCTGTGTGCAAAAGTGTCTGTGTGTAAAAGCGTCTGTGTGTAAAGGAGTCTGTGTGTAAAAGCGTCTGTGTGGAAAAGCGTCTGTGTGTAAAAGCCTCTGTGTGTAAAAGCCTCTGTGTGTTAAAGCTTCTGTGTTTAAAAGCTTCTGTGTGTAAAAGCGTCTGTGTGTAAAATGGTCTGTGTGTAAAAGTGTCTGTGTGCAAAAGCGTCTGTGTGTAAAGGCGTCTGTGTGTAAAAGTGTCTGTGTGTAAAAGCGTCTGTGTGTAAAGGAGTCTGTGTGTAAAAGCCTCTGTGTGTAAAAGCGTCTGTGTGCAAAAGCGTCTGTGTGTAAAAGCTTCTGTGTGTAAAAGCTTCTGTGTTTAAGAGCTTCTGTGTGTAAAAGTGTCTGTGTGTAAAATGGTCTGTGTGTAAAAGTGTCTGTGTGTAAAAGCGTCTGTGTGTAAAGGGGTCTGTTTGTAAAAGCGTCTGTGTGTAAAGGAGTCTGTGTGTAAAAGCCTCTGTGTGTAAAAGCTTCTGTGTTTAAAAGCTTCTGTGTGTAAAAGTGTCTGTGTGTAAAATGATCTGTGTGTAAAAGTGTCTGTGTGTAAAATGGTCTGTGTGTAAAAGTGTCTGTGTGTAAAAGCGTCTGTGTGTAAAGGGTTCTGTTTGTAAAAGCGTCTGTGTGTAAAGGAGTCTGTGTGTAAAAGCGTCTGTGTGTAAAAGCTTCTGTGTTTAAGAGCTTCTGTGTGTAAAAGTCTCTGTGTGTAAAATGGTCTGTGTGTAAAAGTGTCTATGTGTAAAAGCGTCTGTGTGTAAAGGAGTCTGTGTGTAAAAGCGTCTGTGTGTAAAAGCGTCTGTGTGCAAAAGCGTCTGTGTGTAAAAGTCTGCGATTGGGACATGCAATGCTTGGATTGAAAATTGATTTCTGTTTTCTGTTGAGGTGGTATGTGACTGCGAGGATTGATTTGTCTTTAGTTGGATCATACAGTCCCGTGGGATTCAAGTATGGAGTTTTTGCAACCACGTT